CAGGAGGATATTTCGGTAAGAGGAAGGATATGTGCCAAGGTGTAAAGGTGGGCAGGGAGTGGTAAGTAGTCAGTTCTCTTTGACAAAGCAGTGCTTCTCATTGGAGACATGAGAGCAAATCTGAATTGCTTGGGGGAAATTTTTTGGAATCTTTCGTCTTCTTTGCCCACACTCTCCTCATTCTGGCATGTCTTTTCAAGGAACTGATATGACTGAGAACCAGTAGACTGGGTGCCTGAGAAGGAGCAGAGGGAGAAGAGGCAGGAAGGTGGGGCTGGGAAGAACACTGGGAGACTGGAATGCCAGGCTAGGAGAATGCATGGGAATCAGTCTCTGAGCAGAATCTGAGCACCTGCCCCTCTCCAGGTGTCCAGAACCATCAATGGGTTTCAGCACTCTTAGGCTAAGAGATTTGGAATAAAGGTTTGCCTGTTTGACTGTAGGTATCAAGTTTCGGCCTCTGATGGCCCTGGTCTCAAGTCTCCTAACCTTGCTCATTGAGAGAGTCACTATATAATTCAGTAAGTTGTTGCCCCACATGGGTCTCTAGATATAGTGAAGATGCTGAAGAGTTGGCTTAGGGGTGACATTTTTATATTTTAATTACAATTAGCAGCCTCGAAAACTCCAGAGAGAAAAATATAGTATTTCCAATGTATTTACAGAACATAACATTTATCCAAGTAAAACATACGTATTCGCATGGAAAAATACATACGTCAAAATAATGTATAGTACAAAACACATATATTTTGATTTTAAAATGGTGTCAAGTGTTTGTGTACATTGATAAGGTTTAGATGAAGATACAAAATAATGTAAAGGGTTGGTCTTTTACGTTTATGGCTTTTTCTCCCTATAAAAGTACAGGTGACCCCCCCTCCTTTTTTGCAAAGTTTTGCTCTATTAATTTTGTTGTTGTCGTTGTTAGTTGCCATTGAGTTGGCTTCTACTCATGGCAACCTTATGTATAACAGAATGAAACATTTTCCAGTCCTTTGCCATCTTCATCATCATTGGTGTGTTTGAGTCCATTGTTTCGGCTATTATTAATCATGTATATAATTATAAATGTTTGACCTGGAAGATTCCGTAGACATACCTCGTCTAGTTCAGCTCTTTCAGTGTGCAGGGAAGAGACATGCCTATAGAGGGAAGAGGTCCGCTGGAGTAAGTGCTCTTTCCGCCATGCCACTCCTTTGCATTGGCAGTGAGATCAGATTGCCTTATTCTGCTGGAAAATGTTGGCTAACTCTTGATGAATCTATTTTAATTTCATATTTGGGATTTAGCCAAATACTGATTTTAGCATAGAGGTTGACCATATTTAACAAATATTCAAATTTTTAATAGTTTCTCATAATTATATGAAGGTGTAAATGATTGCTTTTGGTGGGAGGAAGTCTGTTATAAAAGAATGCTTATACAGCTGTGAAAATAAAAACTTTCTGAATTACTCCCTTTATGTTATCTCCCTTTATGTCTGCTGGAAGTATACAGAAGACTTTGTAGTAAATACTGTGTAATAAAGAAGTTGTTTTTTTTTAACTACAACATGTCCTATATCCACAAATCATGCCATCATCTCAGATGTAGTGGGGGTGTGGTAGGTTGGGAGAATAGTCCAGAAGGTTCTCAACATCTGAGATAGTTGTTGGAAGAAAAGGCCCATTTCTTTCGGGTTGGCGCTAAACTTGCCAGAGATTCAGGCTGAACTAGAAGGAGCTTCAGGGTCTGAAGTTTTAGGGTCTACACCACAAACAGCAACAGCAAAAAAGCAAAAAGAAAAAATCACCCACAGTTCTATACTCTGACACATTAATTGACTTCAGTTTCTCTGTTCACTTTTAGTCCTTGAATTTATACCATCATTTCCTGTATCTCTACATATGGCATCGTTACAGTGCTGTAGTCTGGTGTTTTCTTCATTCAACATAATGTTGTGAATGCTTTTTTTTTTAAGGGCTGTTTTGGTTGCAAGAAACATTCACTCAGTGAAGTTAAATTCCCTCAGAAAAAAGTTCGTGTGTGTATGTGTGTGTAACTCTTACAAAATTTTACAGAAATCCAAGAAAGAGGAACCTACGATAGCTGGGCTCCGAAGGAATGGAGCTAGGATATGGAAAGCCACCGCTACTGAAGCCGCTCTGTCCAGAGCCTTGTCTGGGGTTTCAGCTTGTCTCTACATTTCTGCTCTGTGCTTTTGTAACTTCAGTAGCTCATAGCCAATAACGACCACCCCAAACTTCATGACCTTATAGTTCCAGAGTTTTTCCATTATTCTGTCTCTATGTTTCTCGAAGTCAAATCCTCATTTGATTGGCCCAATTTATCTTTTACAGTCAAGCCACACAAATCAGAGGTTTTTTTCAGCCTGTAATTGGCTGTCCCTGGCTCAGGTGGACACAGCCTAGTCCAACTGAGTGTAGCTGTGGAGGTGGAGTCACATGCTCTAGACACTAGCTCTCCAGGGCAGCAAGGCCATGGGCATCAGTGAGTGTGGCTGGGCAGGCACCAACTCCTGTGTGGCTGTGGAGTCTTCAGAGCTTCACATTTTAATGAATGCATGACATTACATCAAGTGGCTGCTCCGTAGTGCATGATCCCATTTTTCTGCTGTTAGATAGTTTACTTTAGCTCTTTCTAGTTTGGGGGCTACAAATAAAACTACGATGAATACTTCTGTGTATACATCTTCCCTTTCATCTGGATTATATAAAATAATCTATATAGAGATTACAGTTTGTGAGCATGTTCAGGATATAAAACGTAATTGGCTTTTCTTTCTTTGTTTGAAGTGTCTATTTGCTGGAGATTTATAATTAGGTAGTTATGGGTGAGTAATAGGATGGAATATCTGGACTTTGCTTTAAAATACTTGGGGAACAAAATTGGGGGTGAGGTGATAGTTGAAGCAAGATTGGTGAAATGTTGATGACTGTTAGAGCTGATGATGAGTAGGTGGGGATGTAGTATACTATTGTCTCTACTTAGCTGTTTACTTCTGGCTTCCCTTCTCCACTTCTGGCTTCCCTTCTCCTCCTCCCCATTCTGGCTTCTTTGCTGGTTTTTCCTGTTTCCTCTAGATACGTGGTACCCACACACTGCTGTCTGGATTCCCAAACACTTTTCTAAGGCTTAGTCACTCCTGAAAAGCTGTCTGCTTCATAGGTTCTTTTTCCTTCCATCCAACTCTCTGCCCATTCAGTAGTTCGTTCACATTAAAAAATTAAGTCTCTGTACAGGTGCTACACTTTCACTGTTTGATATGTTAGCTATTAGAGGAAAGTGATTATATTTCTGTAGTGTGTTGGCTTGTGTGTTGCTATGATGCTGGAGGCTATGTCACTGGTATTTTCAAATACCAGCAAGGTCACCCAAGGTAGACAGGTTTCAGTGAGGCTTTCAGACTAAGACAGATTAGGAAGAAAGACCTGGTGATCTACTTCTAAAAAATCAGCCAATGAAAACCTTATGGATCACAACAGAATATTGTCTGGTATAGACGTGTCATCAGTAAAGAGTAATCGCTAGAAAAGGACATCGTTATTGATAAACTAGAGGGCCGGTGAAAATGAGGGAAACCCTCAGTGAGATGGATTGTTACAATAGCCACAACAGTGGACTCAAACATACTAACGATCATGAAGATGGCGCAGGACCAGGCGATGTTTCGTTCGGTTGTATGTGAGGTCACCATGAGTCAGAGCCGACTCGATGGCAACTAACAACAAACAGCAATATTAACTTCTTTTTTACCACAGGATGGGTGACAGATAGCCAGTCTAACATTCTTAGGAATAACTGTACTTTAGGAAAGTGCCCTCTGTCTTGTGTGGTAGGTAGGAGTGAGGGTCTTCTTAAATACGTACTTCCTCCTTACTGCCTTTTTGCCCAAAGGTTTTAAGTCTTTTGGAATTTTGAATTGGAAGCTACATTTTGAGGTTGTATTTATTTAGTTAAATGAAAATTGTACAAATTAAGATCTTTGAAATTTTTATAACTTTTAACATAAAGCATTAAAGAGTCTCAAGTGCACAAGGAAATTAATATTTTACATTCATGTTAAAGAAAAAGGCAAAAAGCTAATCAAGAGGCTTGATTTCCTATTCATCTGCTAAAACATTTGTATATTGTAAATTCTGTGTGGGTTAAGTGGAACTGCAGGGTGATAATTCTGAGGTCTTTGTGATTTTAATCGTCACCCAAGGTGGCTCCTGGCTCCCTGAAGTTGGAGCCCCCAGAGGTGTGACTGTCCAACACTGTGGCCACCTTGGAAGGCTGAGATTAGCTGGAGCTCCCATGGCACCCTCTGTGTTCCCTAGCTGTGCACTCAGAACGTTGGATTGTAGTTGCATCTTTACTTGTCTGTCTCCCTCACCCAACTGTGAGCTTCTGGGAGGACAGAGATTCATTTTCAATGCCTGGAATGTAGTTGAACTTTAGTAAATACCAGTTGAATGAAGGACACACACACAAAAATGATTTTCTTAAAAAAAAAAATCCCCGTATTTCCCCTTCATAGATGGTCTTCTTTAACATGAACCCCAAGATGGTCCCATTCTTCAGCCTGACTCCAATGACCTTCTGCTGAGAAAGAGAAAGCTTCAAGGAAACTGCCTGTGGGAAGCTCAAAAACCTGAAACAAGTGATTCTCCCAAAGAAGTGTCTGCTGCAGGATGGGGGTACCTGGATTCAGGTCTCCCAGAATATGCCTTTACCGTCAACAGGACAAGATTGTTACCTTTAACAGGATTGTTCAGTGCTTTGTTTTTTTCAGCACAACTGCTTAAGGATTCCCAAGCATAAGCTTCTAATTAAGAACTCACAATAATTAATCCAATTCAGAATCTACTGTGAGTACAGCATGGCAGCAAGTTTATTGTTAGGCTAGTAAGGTAACAAGGTGGTATACAGCTAAGTGTTTGGGCCACATTTTCTTGAGTTCCCCTCCAATGGCTTCTGCTCTCCTCCTTCCCTTCCGGTATTTGAAATGGTTCATCCTGGTGGTTGGTTGGCTTTCATTGCGGGGTGGGATGGGGTGGGGAAAAGCAAAGCAAAAGAAGTAACATGGAGTGGACCCAGCCTTCCTTCAGAGCCTGGTTACAGGAACTCGGGGCAGTTCACCTGGTCTGTGTTGGTCATTTTATCGATGGCAATGTTGTTAGAAGTCAGGATATCTTTTAGATAGGTCACTGTTTCTGGAGGGAGAAAACGGTTTCGTCCCAAGATCCAAACATGATCCATGTGAAAAAGCCAGAGGAATGTGGTACAGGAGTACACGAGGGCGTAGTTCTCATAGTCGGTGGCCAGGACCCAGTATGGTGCTGACGGCATCACTAAGAACCGGAGGAGGGAGGCATTAGGAGGGACCAGCACGAGAGAAACTTTCATCTCCAGGACCCTGGAAGCCAGGCTCCGGGGTCCTGTTTTTTCTAGATCAGTGATTCTTAGCTCTGATTTCATGTTGGAATCGTCTGGGAGCTTAAAAAGTACTGGGACCATTGCTCCCCACCGCTCGCCAGATTCCGACTGTGTGTGATTGGTGCTTTTAAAGGCTCTCTAGTGATTATAATATGCAGTTGGAGTTAAGAACCATTGTCTATCCTTCCTCCTTGATAACAGGTTGGTCTCTGGAAGCCCATCATAACTGGAATGTTTAGCTAGACCCCTTGGACTAAAAGGTTGCTCCTGGTACCAGTGCACATGGAGGTACCACTTAGCTAAGTGGAGTCAAGCATGTAAGATCAGGGGCCCCAGGCTCTTCTAATCTGTACCACCTTCCTCCAGAACCTGCCTAAAAGAGGAGCAGAGCCAATGTTTGGCTTTATTTTTTCTGCATGACCTTTGAAAATCTGTCCACCATTTAGACTATGGTAAATCAGTTGGTAACAGGTTATAAGCTCTTCCTCACAACATGCCATGTGTCTCTCTTTATTCATTGAATGACATCTATAAAGTGTTGAAAGGCCAAGATTAAAGGGGCCCTTAAGTGGAGAGATAGAGGATTCCTCTCTATCTGGATCCAGAAATTTCCTCAGTCAGCCAAGGTGCAAGCCAAGGAAAACTCAAAGCCCAGCTTGTTAAAGTTAACTGGAAGATGCACCCAAATGGGATGAAACTGCAATGATCCCATAAGAACAAAAGATTTAGACCCATATGCAATCAGGGGTAATTTGCTTTTCTGAGTTTTAAGGATTCTACTTCCTGTACTCAAAAATAATCCCTATGTTTGCCAAGTCAAAATCAGATCTCAGCATTCAAGAAAGACCATGAGAAGCGCTTGGACAAAGGAGGTAGTGTGTGAGTTGTTAGAGCTTTTCTGGGTGTCAGGGACCCAGCTGGTTGTCAGGAGATGGTTCAGATGACCACCCACCCAGAACCCTCCTACCTCTGGGACTTTTGACCTGTTTGTAAATACAGAAGGACAAACTTGGAGGAAGTCTGGACAGAAGCTTGGACAGACTGAAGGGCCTGGATTGAGTGTTGTTTCTGAATTGCTTGGTGCCCCGCCTGCCTGCCTCACTCACGAGAGCATATATTCATCATACATGTCCTATCTTTGCATTTTAGCTGCTTTGCATATTCCCACCTGGACTGAGGGCTCTTCAGCCCAGAGAAATTTGGGGAAAATATGTCTCTAGTTCTTCCAGAGCAGCATGATGCTCCACCCTGCACACACCTGGGTGTGCATATTCTGTTCTCCTCTCACAGGGTCCAGCTCTCAAGAATAAATTTATGCACTATTTCCTTTTAGTACAGAACACATCCATGTCTCTGTCTTTATTACAAAACTTCAGCAACCTCGTGGTGCAGTGGTCAAGAACTATAGCTGCTAACTGAAAGGTCAGCAATTCGAATCCACCAGCCGCTCCTTGGAAACCCTGTGGGGCAGTTTTACTCTGTCCTATAGGGTCGCTATGAGTTGGAATCGACTCAAAGGCAACGGGTTTTTTTTTTTTTTTTTGATTGCCTATAGAGGAAGCTTCAAACTCTCTAACATGACATTCGAGGCCCTCCGGCCTTATTTCCTACTCTGCGTACGCTCCCATGATTCAGGCTTCTTTCTCCAGGCTTTTTCTCATGCTGTTCCCTCCACTTGGAATGTTCTTTCTCGTAATCACCCATACGCCCTACAAGACCCAATGGAAACGTCCGATCCCTCCATCCAGAATAAATCTCTCCCCTCTCTGCTTCCCCAGCCAACAGCTTGTGTCTCTCTTTTAGCTCCAGTCACAGGTTTCCTTACAAAGATTGTGCACATAGTATTTGACCTTCACTTCCAGCCCATCCCTAATCAGTGTTATGGGACAAATAATCAAGAGTTTGGAGACCTAGGTTTTAGTCCCAATTCTGCCCATTCATGGACCTTGCGTACATTACCCAGCCTTCCTGTGCTTCAGCTTTCTTCCCTGTAGAAATAACAAGGAAACCAATGTTTACAAAGCCCTTTACAGTTTACAGAGCGCGTGTTACCTACTTCATCTTTACCAAACGGGGCAGTTTTTCCTGACTTCTAGACGTGAAGTTAGTTGTTGGGAGTCACATGTGTGGGGGGAACTGTTTTCTCCTTCTCTATAAAACAAGAACTGCTCCTCTGCCTCCACTTTAGGGACTTGATCCACTGTGATGGTAGCTGGGGGCAGAAGGAGGCATTCCTGTGATTTCAGTGTCTGCCCACAGGTGGGGAGAGGCACTTCCAGGCACTTTCGACATGAGAAAGCCTCACAGTTTTGAGCCGAGCCCTCCAGTGTATCTGTAAAACCAAAACCAGACCCTTTGCCGTCAAGTCGATTCCGACTCATAGCGACCCTGTAGGACAGAGTAGACCTGCCCCGTAGGGTTTCCAAGGAGCAGCTGGTGGATTTGAACTGCTGACCTTTTGGTCAGCAGCTGTAACTATTAACCTCAGCACCACCAGGACGCCAGTGTATCTGTAGCAGCAAGAAAGCTAATATTTGGATCTTTCTCTGTTGCCTGTGCCCATGCCTTAGCTCTGAACTCCGAGGGCAGATGGCTGTGATTAAGTATCTCCCAGGGACCCCAACAATGTGACTAGAAAGCGGCAGCGCCAGGACTCAAACTTGCTTCACTCTGGCCATCTCTTGCCACCAAGTTTTTGCACATGCTAGTTGTTCTGCTAACATCTACTAGTTTGAGGGCCTCAGTTTCCTCTGGGACATGTCTTTCCTCTCCCTCACCCCCCACCCGCCGTTCAAGACTGACTTAGATCTCCTCCAGCTCCTGCCCTGTGATCGCCCATCTGGGCTTCCCCTATTGAAACACCTATTGTAGTTTTATTGTAAACCGTCTGGGTCTTATCAGATCCGCACTTGGATGTAACCTCCGTAAGGACAGGGGCCACGTCTGTTGTGCTCATCATTGCGTCTCCAGTGCATGGCATGTAGAAGGTGCTGGACAAATGATTATGGCCTGAATGGATGACACTCAGATGTGACAGGAGGGCTCCAACCCAGGGCATTGGCCTTCAGGGTCCTGCCCTTGAAACCTCCAGAGAGAAGTGGGTACTCACACCAGAAAAATTTGACTCCCAGCTTGGCGGGCTCCGTGAGGTTGACCTGGGTGGCCTCACCTTCAATTTGATTCACTGATCCATCCGGTCTGCAATAAATTAAAAAAAAACTGAACTCACTGAAAGCCAAAAAACAATGAAAGGATTTGTGATGCTGAGGACCACAGCGGCCAGTGTTGTGATTCTGGGGAAGAAAGGCTCTTACAGGCAGGTCAGACCCAGGCTCCATTCCCTGCCCTTACCTTCGTGACCGTCTCTGAGATCAGGCAGAGGAAGACAGTCTCGGGGTGACAAGAAGCAATAATTAAAGTGCTCCAGGACTGGATGATATGCCAGGTCCTTCTTGCACTGTTTTTTTAACTATGTGCAATGGCCTAAAAGTTCATTCCTGCTTCCAGGTTCCAAAGACAGTAAAAGAGAAGGGAACAAACAAACAAAATAACCCCAAAACAAAGAAATAAACTTTAAAATGAGAAGGGGCCAAAGGGGAAAAAAATGACTGATTTAAGTACTGAAAAGGATGAAACCAAGGGAGTTGAGAGATCTGCAAGCTGTTCCCCCTTTGGGCCCCAGTGACGTCATGTGATACAGTCTGTCACATGAAGATTATATGCCTGACCTCTGCAACCGATTCCAGTTAAACAAGCCTTCGACAGAGTGGGGGGGATTTTGAGGTGGGCCAGGCAAAAGCAGGCGGTGAGGACACATTTGCCTTATTTCAGTGATTCTCAGAGATGTTATATGTGAAATGTTCCTCTTACAATTGATGCCGTAAATAAAACGGTGGCGTGTTTTAAAATAGAAGGTGTCTTAGAATAGATTGAAGGGACCTGGCCTGTTTCTGGATAATTCCTAATGACCCATGAACCTGGGGAGCAAAGGGCCTGGGGATGGAGGCAGTGATGGGAGGGTGATCAGGTATCAGGGTGCTCTTCCTAGGAGTTGCCTGTCCATCAGTCCTGGGGGGAGGGGAGAAGCAGGTAAACAAATAGTAGAGTGACAGTGTGTGTTAGAAAGCCAGGAGCCTGTGGGCGGTGGTGATAGATGTCCTAGAAACAGACAAGGGAGGTGGGGAAATGCACTTATTGTCTGTTCATCGCTGTGCTTTCCCACCTGGACCTCGCGCAGCACGAAGGTGGTCCATTTGTATCTGCGTGCAGTAACTTAGCAACAAACCAGCCTCTTCTGAACAGACAGCTTTTTTCACCATCATTTATGTTTTATTCCCAAACAGTTTTCAAAACACCAGTCCCTGATCATAAACTCACAACTTGTTCATGGGGAAAATGCATTTGTGTTTTCAAGGGTAGCAGCAAATTAATAATAGCTAATGTTTGTTAAATGATTATTACGTGCTAGACACTGTTCTAAGTGCTTTACATATATTACCTCGTTTAATGCTCAAACAGCCCTGTGGAGGCAGGTTCTATTATTATTGCCAGTTTACAGATGGTGAACTGAGGTCTAGAGAATTAACTAAGCTAAGAACACATAGGTAGTAAGTGGCAGAGCCAGGGTTTGAAGCCAGGCAGCCCAACTCCAAAGACTGAACCCTTCGGTGTCCAACCCTGTGCCAGCTTTCTTGGCCTTCAAAGTCTCTGACATTGGCTAAGCGTATCCCCCTGCTCAGACTCCTTGCCACGCCTTCCACCCATTCTGAGTCCTCCTGAATGGAGAAAGGATACCATTTTCCTGAACTAACCCTTTTCCATACGCTCTTGTGTCTTAAACAGGTGCAACCCCAGGGGCAGAGCAACTAACAATCAGCATAGTTAGAGAGGACTCCTGGCCAACTCCAGGGGACAGGTGGGGAATCTCACGGGCTCCAGGATCTGTGTCATTGACAGACTCTTGGTCTTAGAATGGAACAAAATATTTGAAATGAGCTCATTGGAACTATCGGGGCCTAGAAAATCCCTATGAGACCTTCTGTTGTGTCTGCATCTCAATTCCTGGAGCCCTTCCCAGGCTCTGAAATGACCTGGATTTTTCCTTCGAGGCTTTGAAGATCCTGACTCAGTTTCTGTGGTTTATGCAGGCCAGGGAGTCAGCCACTGTGGTGTGGCTTACAGGAAGGTTAGTGGATAATGGGATAGCCACGGAGAGCCTCCCTGAGCCCATGAAACTTCCAGGCTGGGTTGTAGCTGTTTTCTTGGAGTTGAACAAAGTTCCCAGAGCCTGTAGGGAACAGGAAGGAGAACCCTTCATTCTCAGCCCCAAGAAAAGATTCTCCTGTCTTTCATACATCTTCTGTTCTTGTCCCTGTTTTATTTCTCCCTGGATGAAAATCTCAGCTTCATCACTTATAACTACATCATCCTTAAGCAAGTTGCTTCAACCTCTCTGCACCTCAGTTTCTTCATCTATAAAAATGGGGTTAATATTACCTACCTCAGGGTGTTATGGGGATTATAAATATATATACCAAAACCAAAAAACTGAACCCACTGCCGTTGAGTTGATTCTGACTCATAGCGACCCTGTAGGACAGAGTAGAACTGTCCCATAGGGTTTCCAAGGCTATAAATTTTTACGGAAGCAGACTGCCACATCTTTCTCCCGCAGAGCAACTCGTGTGTTCAAACCGTCGACCTTTCAGTTAGCAGCCGAGTGCTTTAACCACTGTGCCACCAGAGCACCTAGCTAAATAAATATATATATGCATATTTATATTTACACAGAATAGTGCCTTGCACATCAGAAATGCTCAATAAAGATTACTTACTCTTGTTTATTGTTGCCGTTACCTTTGTTGATTGGGGGTATGTAGGAGTTCTTACTGGGGCCCTTTTTAAGTTTATGTTCGCTTTCCAAAGTGTGAATTTTTGGATCAAATATCAATCTGTTAGAAGCCTTCAGCAATAGAAATGTACATTCCTATAGAGTATCCTGTTCACATAACTCAAGAGTGTGACTATGTATGTATTTGATTCTTGCTTGGTAAGAAGAGTTTTCTAACAGTTAAAGCCATCCAGAGATGTAATAACCTGTCCTGGAAGGCAGTGAGCTTCCAGTTGCTGGAAGTTTTCAAGGCTGGATGCCCTTCTGTCAGTAGATTTTATAGAGGGGCTTCTCTCTTGATTTGGAGGTCAGACAAGATGGTCCCTCATGTCCTTCTTGCTTTTTGCAATGAGGACAGGAACACTGTCAGTTTGGGTTACAGTTGAATCCCTAGAGCATCCCACAGGGTCTAATACACAGTAGGTGCTCAGCCAGTGGTTATGGAATGGAAGAGTGAACTCCAGCCCCCACCCCTGCCCCTGCCCCGCCCGAGTGCTCTTCTGAGGACCTGATGTGTGCAGGCAGGCCGCCCAGACCCAGCGCTGCTCACAGGCCCCCAGAACTCCTCTGCCAGGACACGCAGTTGCTCCAGGACAGCGCTGTGCAGGCTGCCTCTGGGCGGTGCGCAGCCTTTAAAACCACAGCCACTCACCTCACCTCCTGGTTTATCACTTTGACGTTTCCATTCTCCATTAGCGAGTAGTTGGCTTGGATGCAGCTTCCCTTCTCAAAGGTCACCGGGATCTTCTCAATTTCATACCATCTTCCAAGATACTATAGAGACAGCAACAGGCAGAGCAAAACCCTGTGGCTCCCTGGGGACCTGCCAGCTCATCCCCATTTTATCTTTCAGAAGCGGAGCCCTTCCCTGGGGAAGCCAGGCAAAATGGGCTGCATTGTTCCCTGGCAACTGCAGCAAGAGATTGATTCAAACGGGAATAAAGTGAACTGGATGTGTGAGCCTGGGCCGAATGCCACATTCTGTTCCTAAAGTGCTCTTTATTTAGATGCGCTCTCAGGGTCCTCTCATCTTCAGCCAAAATCTATGCTAAACTCTAAATTCTGTTAAAGGAGGGTGTGTGTCTGGGTGATGTAAGGCGCTTTCCGCCTCAAGCATTTTAGGATTCTACAAGGCGTCTTTGGATTTTGTGCAAAGTCAGATTATGTTCGCTGTGGGGAGCTAGGACTCCAGGGTTGGTTGAGCCGTCCTTGAACAACCTTGCACAGGGAGTTGGTCACAAAGGCTTTTGTCAGGTGATCAGGCTTTGGAACACCTGTGTCATCCTCCCACTGGGTGCTTGCTGTTCATGCATAGCTTCAGGTGTACAGAGTCAACTTTAAAGGAAGTGTGCGATTATGCAGGTGACAGCCCTTTCATACTTCCACAAATTGCCCTCCTGGAGACCGTACTAATTTATAGCCTCTGTGGAGGGCAATTTGACCCAGCAGTTTCACTTCTGGGACTGTATCCTTCTGATACAGGAGATGGTGTGTATACATGGATATTCACTGCTGTGTTATTTGTAATGCTAAAAGAGTGGAAACAGCTCAAGTGAGCATTAGTAGGGAACTAGGTAAATAAATGAAGGCACACGTCATGCATCCTCTTTTAAAAGAGTAGTATGAAATTATCTCCAAGATATACTGAATAAAAAAAAATCTAAGTGTAAAATAATGCATGTATGATGCTATTTTTTGTGTAAAAATGGAGGAAAAGGTTATTATGTTCGTTTTCTATTGCTATTATAACAAATTACCACAAACTTAGCAGCTTAAAACTGCACATTTTTATCTTATAGTTCTGTAGGTTAGAAGTCTGACATGGGTCTTGCTGGACTGAAATCAGGATGTCAGCACAACTGTGTTCCTTTCTGGAGGCTCTAGGGGAGACTCTGTTTCTTTAGAGGCCACCCACACTCCTTGGCTTGTGGCCCCCTCCCAGCAATGACAAGTCAAATTTTCATATTGCTGTTTCTGACTCTTCTTCCATCATCACATCTTTCTCTGTCTCTCTGACCACAGCAGGAAAAGTTTTCTCTGCTTTTAAAGACTCACGTGATGAGACTGGGCCCACCTGGATAAACCAGGGTACTCTCCTTGGGTCAAGATCTATTACTTATATCTGCAAAGTCCCCTTTTCTCCATAAGGTAACATAATCATAGGTTTCAGTATTAGGACGTGGACACCTTTGGGAACCCATATTCTGCCTATTACACACACACACACACACACACACACATTCTTATATGTATAGATCATCTCCGAAAGAAACACAATAAATTGTTTTTACTGGTTGCCACTAGGGAGAGAAACTGGGGGGCTGAGGTACAGAAGTGGGAGGGAAAATTTTCCTTGTATACCCTTTTATGACTTCAGAATTTTAAAGTATGTAAATATATTTACCTAGTCAAAAATTAATTGAAATTATTTTTAGAAATTTAAATACATGTTACTCAGCAAAACAAAAGGAAAGAGATGTACTCATCTTCAAAAAGTCAGAACTTGAGAGTACACTGCAAACAAATGGCAGTATTGCCTTGGCCACATGACTCTTGGCTCAGACATGGTGTGTGCTGTGGAGTCGATTCCAGCTTGTAGCAGACAGGGTAAGACATAGGAAGAACAGAACTGCCCCATAGGTTTTCCTAGGCTGTAATCTCTACAGGAACAGATCGCCAGGTCTTTTTTCCTGCAGAGCTGCTGGTGGGTTCAAACCACCAACCTTTCACTTAGCAGCTGAGTGTTTAACCATTGCGCCACCAGGGCTATCTTGCTTTAATATACTCCCATGCTTAGGACCATAAAATTTCCACTCACTTATTAAAGCACAATTCTCGGTTAAAACCACCACACTTAGCATTCATTTAAAGCATGAAAGAATAGGGTTAAAGTTCAACTGGTTTCATAGGCATCCTCAAAAATAAAAAATAAAAACCTGCAGTTTGTATAGTGACTTAAAATAGTTCTATTAATGTCAAAGTGAGTTTAGTGCCCCACAGTTAAAACCACGGAAGCATGGTTTTCCCAGAAAAGAGGAAACTCAAGATGGAAAATGAGTTTTCTTGTCATGTTCCCTCATAATGTTTTATTATTTTTGCAAAGGCCTCTTAATCTTCCCGTTTATATACAGAGAATGCAGTGTTTAAAAAGAATCCTAGAAAGGAAGAAATAAAACTATCTCTACTTACAGATGGCATGATTTGTACATTAAAAAAAATACTAAGGAATCCACTAAAAAAAATTATTAGAATAAATGAAGTCAGTAAAGTTAAAGAATAAAAAAAAAAATCCGTTGTCATTCAGTCAGTTCTGACTCAAGGCAACTCCATGTGTTACAGAGTAGAACTGCTTCATAGGGTTTTCTTGGCTGTAATCTTTATGGAAACAGATGGCCAGGCCTTTCTTCTTTGGTGCTGCTGGGTGGGTGTGAACAGCCAACCTTAGATTAGTAGTTGAGTGCAAACCATTTGTGCCACCCAGGGACCTCAAAGGATAGATGATCAATATACAAAAATAATTATACATTTGAACAATCTGAGAATGAAATTAAGAAAACAATTCCATTTACAATAGCATCAAAGGAAATACTAAGGAATAAATTTAATAAAAGAAGTGTAAAACTTATACTCTGAAAACTACAAAACATGGTTGAAAGAAGTTAAAGAAAAGCTAAGTAAATGGAAAGACATCCAATGTTCATGGATCAGATTTAATGTTATTAAGATGGCAATACTCCCTAAACTGATCTACAAATTCAGTGTAATCTATCAAAACTCCAGATTCCTTCTTTGCAGAAATTTGACAAGCTGATCCTAAAATTCATATGGAAACGCAGAGGACCCAAAATAGTCAAAACAGTCTCGAAAAAGAAGAACAAAGTTGGAGGATTCATACTTCCTGACTTCAAAACATACTACAAAGCTATAATAATCAAGACTGTGTGGTACTGCTGTAAGGATAGACATATAGATCAATGGAATAGAATTCAGAGTGCAGAAATAAACTCACATTTACAGCTAATTGATTTTCCACAAGGGTGCCAAGGCTGTTCAATGGCTGTGGAGAAACTGGAACCCTTATATCTTGCTGACGGAAGTGCAGAATGGTGCAGCTGTTTTGGAAAACAGTCTAGCCATTTCTCAAAAGGTTAAACATGAACTTTCCATGTGACCTAGCAATTTCACTCCTGGTATATATCCAAGAAAAAGTCCCCTGAGTAACACAATGGTTTGCTCTTGGCGACTAACCGAAAGGTTGGTGGTTTGAACCCACCCAGCATCACTATGGAGGAAAGGCCTGGAGATCTGCTGTAAAGATTGCTGTTGTTGTGTGCTGTCAAGTTGATTCTGACTCAAAGCGACCCTATAGTACAGAGTAGAACTGCCTCCTAGGGTTTCCTAGGTTTTAATCTTATGTGAGCAGATCGCCAGGTCTTTCCTCTTGCGGAGCAGCTGGTGGGTTTGAACCGCCAACCTTTCGGTCCAAAGCCAAGCGTTTAACCGTCGTGCCAACAGGGCTCCTTTCCGTAAAGATTACAGCCAAGAAAACCCTATGGAGCTTTGTTCTATTTTGAAACACATTGGGTCACCATGTGTCAGAACTGACTCTGTGGCAACAGACATATACCCAAGAGAAGTGAAAATATATGGTCACAAAAAAACTTGTACATAAATGTTCATAGCAGCATTATTCATAATAGTCAAGTAAAGTGGAAACATCCCAAATGATCAGTGGATAAATAAAGTGTGATCTAACCCATACAATAGAATATTATTTGGCAATAAAGAGGAAAAAAAGTACTGATACTGATATGTGCTACAACATGGACGAATCTTGAAAACGTGCTAAGTGAAAGAAGTCCATCACAAAAACCCACATATTGTAGATTCCATTTCTATGAAATGTCTAGAATAGGCAAATCTATAGAGACAAAAAAATAGATTATTGGCTGCCTGGGGCTGAGAGGGTTGGTGGAAATGGGGAGTGACTGTTAATAGGTGTGTGGCTTCTTTCTGAGGCAATGAAAATGTTGTAAACTGGATTGTGGTGATGGTTGTATAGTTCTGTGAGTACACTAAAAGCCACTGAATTGTACCCTTTAAATGGGTGAAGTGTATGATATGTAAACTAAATCTCAATAAAGCCCGTTATTTTTTAAAATCCTGTTTTAATTCTCATAGGACTTTTATAAATACAGACCAGTTATAATTTCCAAAGTGCCTTGGGATTGTTACCTAAAAAAGAAAATGAAAGTCAAATTCCCCAGATCTTTTCTGTAAAGACTCTTTGTGGTTTACCCAGGTTACTTAAATAAAGAAGTCAACCCTTAAAAAAATTAGTGGGGTAAGTCAGTGTAGACTTCAGCGTACCAGATCTCCCCTTCCTACCTCACCTGTGTAAGGTCTCCGCCATACTGATGGTGCTCCTTTCCCACCCCCCTCAGGCTTCAAGCCCTCTTTCCTCACACCTCTACCTAGCCCCAACTCCTGCGAAGTCCCAACCCTCATTCCCACTGAGGTGTGAGTGACTGATACAAACTTCAATGTTATTCTTACAACAGTATTACTCCTTAAAAGAGATCCAAACCTTCTGCTAAGGAGAGGAGATCTGAAGGGCGGGATACCAGGCATGAGTTAGCAGCAGTCATGTCATCCAGCAGCTGTGTCTCCACTGCTCCCTCTCCACTGTCACATATATGCATAGGAAGGCTGGGCCTGATGCCAGGAGGAAGGACCAGACATGGGGGACCTGGTTTTACTGATACCTTTTTTAGTGCAGGTAACAAAGCCCCTTGAGTTCTGGCTTCCCCTAGGCCCTACTAGGGTAACCTTTGAGCATCCCGCATTGCTGGGAAGCCTAGTTTAGAATCCCACTCTGCATGTACTAGCCGGGTGATTTGTATAGGTTACAAGCTCTGTGACATTGCAGTTTCTTTCTCTGCAGAATGGGCATAATAGTACTGTAGCAGCTGCTGGTGGTGCTGCATCCCCTATCCTCAGCCCACCTCTGGGTTTACCTCAGGCATGGTGGACAGTTCCCACTTACACTGCAGCTCCCCACCTCCGGTCCTGGTGTCTCTCTCTTTCTTTGCCCAAAGGCTTTGCCAGTGTCATAGGAGCTCCCAAGGACCCTGCATCTGTCAGTGGGACAATCAGAGGTGCCTTCCACACATTTCCTCAGAGGGTTCCAGCAGGATTGAGCCTCGTTGTTCACTGAGTAACCCCCTCATGAATACACCCTCTGTTCTTTCCTGCCTTCCCTATCTCACTTTCCCCACAAGCCCACTCATGCTTCCTGGGATCATCTTCCCAAAACTATCTGTCCCCCAGTCCTTGGCTCAGAGTGTGCTTTGGGGGCCCCCAAAATAGGACAAGTGCCTGCACCACAGGCTTGCTGTGATGAGGAAAGCAGAATAGTAACACTGAGGAAGGCAGAATAGTGATGCTGAACTTGGCAGGGGGCTTATTCCAAGGGGAGATATCAAAACAAAGGAGAGTTTAGCCTTTTACCACACCTTGTTCACGTCAAAATTCTCCTGCACGGGAGGATTCGGGCATCTCCCAGGATGGAATGCCTGTCCCTTTGCCGCACCCACGAAGAGACCAGCCAGGGTGGAAAGCAGCAACAGCATCGGCACCATCTTGGGGTCAGGTGGTTGCAGATGGAACCTGGAGTTGGGGAGACCAAAGCACCTGGAGTAGTTCTAAGCCTCCTCTGGACGTGCAGTCACTGGAGAGAGATTTCCTGTGCTTGCCTAGTTCTGCAGGCTGTCCTCCCTCCTGGCCTCTGAACCAACCCCTCCGCTTTGGGTCTGCCTGAATTGTTACTTCCCGTCAGCCCTCCCTAACTCCCCAATTAGGGCTTGTTCTCTCTCTCCAGAGCCTGGTGTACCTTCGTTAGAACACTCTGCCTGGTCTCAGAATTCATTGGGTTTATTTTGCTCCTCCTGCCGTGCCCCCAGTTATGCATTTCTCCAGGATGGGCACCTGTCTGAATCTTCTCTGAATCACCCACAGAACCTAGCAGAGTCAGGCTCTAGATACTTGTTGTGTGAATAGAAACAATGTAGAGGAATAGGCCCAGGAGGAGACTGGAGCTTCCGTGAACCATGAAATTAAAAAAAGGCATGTACAGCAAACACTGAGTGTTCTATACAATCCTCACAAGGGAAATGCCTTGCCTGACCTGTCCCCTCTAACCGTCCCCATCCCCCATCTTGCTGGGCTGTTCTGACAACCCAAGAGTAGGCCTGGAACCTTAACAGGGAGTAGCATACTGGGGACTCCAGAGTCACCCTGACTGGGTTCAAATTCTGCCACATACTGTGTATGTTGTTAGCTTCTGTGGAGTCAGTCCTCGACTCATGGCCACCCCACGTACAATGGGATCTGACCATTAAATCCATAGGGTTTTCTCTGGCTGATTTTCAGAAGTAGTTCGCCAGGCCTTTCTTCCTAGTCTGTCTTAGTCTGGAAGAGTTAGTCTGGAAGCTCCACTGAAACCTGTTCAGCTTCAGCATCATAGCATCTGTTACTTCCACTTCACTTGAAGAGCAGTGGTGAGGAATCAAACTCAGGCCTCCCGTAGGGAAGGTGAGAATTCTACCACTGAACCACCGCTACCCCCCATACTGTGTATAACTGTGTCCAATTTATGCCTTAGTTTTCATGTGTCTTGAGTAGAAATCATAATCATACCTAGCTCGTGAAGTTCTGTGAGGATTAAATGAGGCCTTATATGGGGGGCACTAAGAGCAGTGTCTGACACAGAATAAGTGCTCAGTAAGTGCTAATTGTTAGTACCATGAAAAGCAGAAACAAATGACTATGTTTCCTGAATTCCTTTGTTGTTGACCTTCTGTGGGGGCAGTTTTAGTAGACGATGCACTTTTAACCAGAGAAGGACTGGTAGCTGATGTGTAGCTAACTGTGCAGCAAGCTCTGAGGAGGGGCAGAGGGGCTGGGGGTGGGAGGCTGCACCGTGGGTGGAAGGGGATGGCTGTCCCAGCTCCTCCCCTGCTTCTTTTGCTGACTTATTTTCAGTTTGTTCCCTTCCTTGTGACTCCTTGCCTGTAGCTGCACACACGAGCTATTTTCAGCTCTTTGCCTTTCTTCCTGTGATGAAGATGACCGAGTCAAGGCAAGCAGAATGTTCTCAGATCTGAGCATTTAAAAGGATGTGTCATAACAGGGATAATTATAACCACTTTATGATGAGTCTCTAAACTTCCAAATAACCTTTAATAATCAATAGCTTTTCTTCTGAAGTTTTGTTGCCTGTTTCAAAAGAACAGTTACATAATGAGTAAAAGCTGCCAGCTGGGGGTGGTGGGGTAGAGGGGTGGTTGCTGAGGCCCCAGACCACCTTCCTTATCTCTGAGGTTCCTTTTCTTAGTCAGTTCCTACTGCTATATAAACAACACCTGTCTTTTTTTTTTTTAATAAAAATATATAATTTATTTTATTTTTGTTGTTGAGATTATACACAGCAAAACATACACCAGTTCAACAGTTTCTACATGTACAATTCAGTGACACTGATTAGATTCTTTGAGTTGTGTAACCATTCTCACCCTCCTTTTCCGAGTTGTTCCTCTTCCATTAACAAATACTCACTGCCCCCTGTGTTTCCTATCTCATCTTTCAAGTTGCTGTTGTCAGCTTGATCCCATATAGATAGATCTTAAAAGAGTGCAATGCTCAAGGCAGATCTTTTTTGCTAGTTAAGCTAAACTATTGTTTGATTTTAAGAATACTTCAAGGGATATTTTTGGTTTAAGGTTTAAAGATTATCTCTGGGCAATAGTTTCAGAGGTTCATCCAGCCTTCATGGCTCCAGAAAGTCTGAATTCCATGAGAATTTGAAATTCTGTTTTACATGTCCCCCCTTTTGATCAGGATTCTTGTATAGAACCTTTGATCAAACTGAATAACACCTGTCTTTTAAGCTTCTTTGGGACCATGGCTTTACAGAAATTCAGCCTCTACCCACAAAAATGTCAAGATTTTTAGAATCACTGGAGTTCTACTCTTGGCCCCTCAGTAGGCCCCAAGTTAAGAACCTTGTCCAGATGGTCTAACCTCAAAAGTTGGCCACACATTATGCACATTCTACTGGGCCCTCAAAACTGAATGGGATTTTTGAGGTCATCTATCCAACCCCTGAGTGGCACAAATGGTTTGTGCTCAACTGCTAACCTAAAGATTGGCAGTTTGGACCTACTTAGCAGTGCTTCAGAAGAAAGGCCTGGTGATCTGTTTCTGTAAAGATTACAGCCAAGAAAACCCTATGGAGAAGTTCTACTCTGTAATGCATAGGGTCGCCATGGGTTGGAATCGACCTAATGGCAGTGGGTTTGGTTTTTTTCATCCAACCCCTTCCTCCTCTCCCCCAGATGTACAGGTGAACCCCTGAGGGGGCAGAGAACTGGGAGTCAGGCCCCATCTTCTGCCCCCCAGCCTGCAGTGGCCCTGCACAATACTTCCTCCTGTACCACTTTTGGTGGCTTTCAATAATCACCTACCTCTGTAACCTGCTGAGTCTCGGTTCACATGTGACAGTTACAACAAAAGTCAGCGCTACATCTTAGTCTGACAGATGCCTTATTACAAAATGTTCTATTGTGAGCTGAAACATTTTCTGTTGCTCTGTAGGAGGATTCCAGAGCAAGGCTGATTCCCCTGGAGTGCATCTCTTCTGAAGATGCCTCTTTGTTTACTGTAGTTTTATTCCTATGTTAGAACTTGTGAAAGAGTTGATGCCATACCTGACTTTTTTCAATGCCTCTTCCATTCTAACTCACCCAACACTTTCTGAGCCCCTTCTGAGGATAAAGCACATTACTAATGCAGAGCTATGCTCTTGGGAAAAATACAGATTATATATGATATATTTTTGCATCCTCTTCTGATGCCAGTTGGAAGATAGTGAGGAGAGTTTAAATAATTTGAAATTAATATTATTTAAATATTAAATAATTAAAAATAATTCCAATAAGGTTATGGTGCATTTGCCCTGGGCAGGGCCCTAACTGTGTAGATTGCGGCTCACACTCATTTCACTTTCGCCTCCTGTCCCAGAAGCCCTATCTCCAGTGATTTACTGTGATCTATACACATCATCTCCATAACACCTTATATGAGAGGTACCTGAGCTGACATTCTCTTTATACTCTGTGAGACTAATTTGCCCAGGTTACTTCCCGGTAAGCTGCCAAGCCAGAATTTACCCCCAGGTATCCTAGGAGCCGTGTTATTACCCACATCACCACACTGGTGGGTGTTCAGGACACAGAGAAAAGTAGAACCTAGTCCCTGATCTCAAGAAACTACAGAGCATTAAAGGACTAGATTTTTAGATTTCACACAAACAAAATGCACACCCACAATTAAATGGGTCTTAAAATCCATTTAGCCATTGAATCTAACACAGAAATATATCTTCAGAAGAAAATATTTTTGTGCCATATTGTTCAATACATTTCCTTATTCATGTAATTAATTCTAGCTAAATTTGCAGTTAATTTTACTGTACTGCACAGTTGGATGACTACTCCCTGAGAATTCATCTGGTATTGGAGACAATTTTCTCATTGTCTCATTTGTCATGGGCGGATAGAATAATGCAAGCAGAAGACTTTGGGGTGAGTCAGCTCTGGGTTTGCACCCCAGCTCTGACACTGTTTGGCAGTCTTATCTTAGACCTGTTGCCTATTGCATCTGAACTCAGTTTCCTCACCTGAAAAATGGCCCTAGTAATAGCTGTCTTGTAAGGCTGTTGTGAGGAAAAAGAGACCAAGTCTAAAAAGTGACTGGAACAAGCCCTCAATCAGTGGTAGTACTATTTTTAGCCAAAAAGGGACAGTAGAAAGTCAAGACAGTCTTCATTTTAAACATTATCTGTCATGATTGAAAATTAAACCTACATACCTTTTTTTTTATCAAAGTGAAGGCAGTTTCCACCTGCAAGTCATCCAAGTTGAGATGCCTGTTTTGGTGGCTGGCTTCTCCCAGCTCACTTTATAAGCTTCATCAGGTCACTGATGGTTAATTTTAATGCATGCCACACCCCCTACAGTTTGGGAAGGCTGGCCTGAAAGCTTAGCTCTGTATGAAACAAAGATGGGATGTTTTGTCCATCCCCCCCGCCCCCACAATTTCCGTCGCAGCTGCTCCCTGAAGAAGAAACAATGAGATACTGTTTGTGTGTGTATGAGAGAGAGAGACAGACAGAGAAAGTGCATTTTCATTCAAAACATCTTTTTTGCTCCATGGATTTTCTTATTTAATTTCCTCAGTCAGAAGGCAATTTAAGTTCCAGCATGGTAAGTTGCAATATGTTTTCAGACATCTGGTGTTTATTTTTCATTTTTGTGTAAATGGAAAGTCAACAATCCCAGTTCCTAAAATGGATCATGGACTCCACCCCATGTGGTCCCTGGCCTGGAATGTGACTCAGGCAACAGAGCCACAGTTAGGAATCAGAGGCGGCTTTGCATGTGATCGTGAGCAAGGCACCGCTTCTCTGAGCCTCAGTCTCCCCACCGTGAAGTTGTTGTTGTTAGTTGCCTTCCAATCGGCCGCAGTTCATGGCGGTCTTAAGTGTAACAGAACAAAACGTTGCCCGCTCCTATGCTATCTTCATGATCTTTGGTATACTGGAGTCCATTGTTTTGGCTACTGTGTTAATCCCTCTCATTGAGGGTTTCCCTCTTTTTCACTGACCCTCTACTTTACCATTCATGATGTCCTTTTCTAGTGTCTGGGCTTTCCTGATGACGTGTCATTTCTGTCTCCACCAGAGTTGGATGTGTAGAGAGATACGAGTTCTGCAACAGTTGGGGCCAAAAACTGAGAACACCAAATGTATCTTCTGCAGCTCTTCTCCCCATACCCTTTATAACCCTCCCAGCTACATATTTAATGCAGCCTTTTACTGTTTGGGGGGAGGGAAGTAGGGAGGGGTAGGAAAGTGGGGGTAAGGGTGGGGGGGTGAGGGCGCTGCGATTTAAACCCATGGGCACTTTTAGTTGAAGCCTGGTGTCTCCTTGTGGAATGAACAGTGTTGACTCTAGTGAATGGAAATTCTATGCCTTTGTGATAGGCAGGAGGTATTTTTAGTGGCATATAGATAAGACGGTGCCTTGTCTTCATAAACTTAGATTCCTAAATAAAATTCATTCTCGAATTTGTAAGCAATAAAGAGAATTTACAGCACTGGGCCTTACAAACGTTAAGAGAAACAAGAGTGTCAAGGATTGAGTTATTTCCCCCAAAAATGTGTGTTTCAGTTTGGCTGGGCCATGATTCCCAGTATTGTGTGGTTATCCTCCATTTTGTGATTGTAATTTTACGTTAAAGAGGATTAAGGTGGGATTGTAACACCCTTAGTAAGGTCACATCCCTGATCCAATGTAAAGGGAGTTTCCCTGTGGTGTGGCCTGCACCACCTTTTATCTTACAAGAGGTAAAAGGAAAGGGAAGCAAGCAGAGAGTTGGGGACCTCATATCATCAAGAAAGCAGCGCCAGGAGCAGAGTGGGTCCTTTGAACCCAGAGTCCCTGTGCCTGAGAAGCTCCTCAACCAGGAGGAGAGATGAGAAAGACCTTCCTCCAGAGCCAACCGAGAGAGAAAGCCTCCCCCTGGAGCTGATGCTCTGAATTTGGACTTTTAGCCTACTTTACCGTGAGGAAATAAATTTCTCTTTGTTAAAGCCATCCACTTGTGGTATTTCTGTTACAGCAGCACTAGCTAACTAAGACAGAGTAACAACAGTGAATCTTCAACATACTAAACTTTGAGAGCTCAGAAAGAATTCCTGTTTCTCTTTGCTGTACTTGCCTGCAAGGCTTCGCCCTTAGAGCTCTGCATGGCCTCTGGCATATACTTCATACCCCTGATCAAATGGGTCAGGAAGACCTCTCAAAGGCCTTCCTGACTCTTCAAAAATGGTAGTGTCATCACTTTATCTGCTCCATTATATCTTTACCTGAAATTATGTTCTTTATTTTTATATTTTCTTACGTTTTTACCACTAGGACATAAGCTCCACGAGAGCAGAGGAGATTTGGCTCATTTACTCACTGCTGTGGAGTCCCTGGGTAGCACAAAAGGTTAAGTGCTCAGCTACTAACTGAAAGGTTGGAGATTCGAGTCCACCCTGAAGCACCTCTGAAGAAAGTCCTGGAGATCTACTTCTGAAAAATCAGCCATTGAAAACCCTATGGAGCATAGTTCTGCTCTGACACACATTGGACCACCAGGAGTTGGAATCGACTTTATGACAACTGTTTTTTTTTTTTTTTGCCTCACTGTTTTTTTGCCTCAGTGTCTAGAGAGAGCACATATAAGCGCTCAATGAATATGTGTAAATTCAGTAGATGCTTTTCAGAGAATTTACTGAGTATTCTAAGATGTGCCAAAGGAACCGGGGGTAATATTCAAGACGCTTCTGTTGAAGTTGTTTTCCTGGGGGGGTTGTTGTTGTTGGGTGCCATCTACTCGATTCTGACTCATGCGACTCCATATGACAGAGTGGAACTGCCCCACAGGGTTTTCAAGGCTGTAGTCTTTATGGGAGCAGATCACCAGGTCTTTCTTCTGCAGAGCCATTGAGTGGGCTCGAACCGCTAACCTAGCTTACCCATTGTGCCACCAGGGCGCCTTTCCTAGGAAAGTATTAGTATGTAAGTTCCTGTATCTTCCTTACTTGCATCGCATTTGTTACCAAGAATCGCTTGCCCTTGAAGAAATACACAATCTGTCTTCATGAAGAGTATTTCTTACTATTCTAAATAGTAGCATAGTTTTCCCCCAAGGAATGTTGCGAGAGTTTCCAAATGTGTAAGTAGGAGGTCAATACATCTGTGTATTTTATCCCTCAGCATTGAATCAGTAACTGTGGAATTGAAGACACTAAGAGTCTCAGCAGGAGAAAAATCACATTATCTTTCTGAGCCTCGGTGTATTTTTTCTGATAAATATTGGCAAATGATATAATTTAGGGAAATTCTTTATTTACATGTTTCTGGAATGTAGAGCCAATCACAAGTTCTTAATCATAAAACAAACCAGACCTATGTTCAAAACAAATATTTATTTTTTAATCACAAAATAATGCATGTTTGTTGTAAACAATTAAAGTAGTATGGAAATGTAAAAACCCATTGCCGTCAAGTTGATTCCAACTCATAGTGATCCTATAGGTAGGACTCATAAAATGTAAACCCATTATAATACCACACCCCAGAGATAACAGTTGTTACATTTGATTTATTCTTCTAGATATCTGTGCATAGATCCTAACATATTAACAATAATAGTAACATTATCTAGTATTTTGAAACTTGCTTTTTTAATGTAACAATGTAGCTCTCCGTATCTGTACACATAGATCTACCTCCTTCTTTTACCTGCTGCAAAACCCTGCTTGTAAAAGACAGCGCATTTCTTTAAGGAGACAGCTTGTGGTTTTACTGGAAAGTGGCACTTTGGCCTGGTGATCTTTAATCATAAAGGTGATTGCCTCAATAGCTTTCACTGTAAGACCCATAGGGAAGATGAGATTATTTTGGTGAACTCTGTGGCAAGAAATAGAGAAGTATTCCACCTTATCAAAAAAGAAAAAAAAGTTTTCCTAGTGAAAACCTGTAGTGGTTCTTTCTACTATCAGTCATTTTGCAATGCCCTTCTACGGTGATTTTTCTCTTCTCTGTTAAAATAATAGGGGGAACACAGCTGTACTTTTCATGTGAAAACCCAGAGACAGTGTTCAATAACACGTATTCACTGCCTGAGACTTGGCTCAAACGCCCCACTTTCTGGGACGTCTTTGTGGATTCTCACCCCACCCCATGCAGTGCGCCTCCCTCGCCGCTTTGTGTTTCCACCGCACGTGTTACTCTGTACTTGGGCTCATCACACTGTGTTAGAAATCACCATCATGCCCTGTCTCCTTCTGGAGGCTGTCAAATCCTTCAGAGCAGGCTTCTCTTTTTTTTTTTTTTTTTTCCAATCCCTGGTACCTTGCATAATGCCTGGCACATAGTAAGTGTTTACTAAATTTTACTGAGTGAATGATTGAACGAATAATAAAATGTTTAATTCTCAGAACTTGAAGGGATTATTATATACTTCACAATTTTTTCAGATGCTCCCTTTCCTCTCCTTCCAGCCCCTTGTGGCCATTTCCTTTATCACTAGGAGCTAGAACCAGTTGAGGGTTACTTGGCACCAAGTGTCTGGTGAGCAGCAAGAAAGCAATCACACTGGTTAAAATAGCAACTTGATTTGGTGCCAGGGAACAAACACTGAACTGAAAGTCAGGAGGCCTGGGTTCTGGTCCTAGCTCTGTTACTAATTCATTTATCCATTCATTCACTCATTCAACAACGTATTTCAAGCACCACCATGTTCCGGCACTGTTCTAAGTCCTGTGATGTAGTGGTGAAGAAGAGAAACAAAGTTCCAGTTCTGGTGGTGCTTACCTTCAGAGGTGGGTCAGATAGACAGACAGACAGGAAAATTCTATGAAAGAATAGAGTGGCTCAGTAGAGAGTGACTAGATGGCTACTTCCGTTTGGTGGCCAGGGAGGGCCTCTCCGAGTACTGATGTTTTGGCTGAGAGCTGAATGATTAAAAAGAACCGATAATTCAAAGATTATAGATAAGATTATTCAAGGCATAACAGCCAGTGCAATGTTCTAAGTTGGGAACAGACTTGGTATTTTCAAGAAAGAGAAAGACCAGCATGGCTACAATATAGAAGTAAGGTGGAAAATTATTCAAAATGAGTTTGGAGAGGTAGTCAAAAGCCAGATCATAGCTTATGTTGAGTAATTTGGATTTTATTTAAAGAACAATGGGAAATCATTGGAGGGTTTTAAACAAGAGCATGACTAACTGTCCTGTCAAGAATGGATTGGACAATGGCTACAGAGGGGATCAGCTGAGAAGCTGTTGCAGTCATTCAGATAATAAATGATGGTGGCTTGGACTAGAGTGACTGTAATGAAAATGCAGAGAAGTGGATGAATTTGGGGTATGTTTTGAAGACAAAGTG